AACGATGACTCGTGCAACCTAATCATTTGCACGACTACGATAAGAGAACTTAACTAACTACGTTAGTTCTATAGTTCATTTACCTTACGTTACCGCTGGGTATTTTGCAAGAGAGTCATAGTTACTCTCGCCCCAAATATTCTGTAGGAAGACACACGGGTTGGGACCGCCGCCGTTACACCAAGTGTGGTCTAAAACAGAGATTTTTTCGGGTATTCGGTTTTGGGCCGTATTTAGAGTATGGTTTAAGGAAGACCAGTTATGAGCCTCATTTTGTTATGAAATTTCGTTGAAGTCATTCATTGAAAGGAATTTTTGCTTGAGTATTAAATGGCACTAATTCGTGTAAATACAGGATATCCTGTCAACAAAATGTAACTATTTGAAAACCCAGTGGCAGGGATGTGTTTTTTCTTTATTTAATTCCCCTTTAAAATTCGAAGCGAGGAGGGCGTTTTCAATATTTCCAGTAAGACAGGTGACTCACATTCACATACTGTGTAGGCTGAGAGGAACGAATCCCACCGAGCTGTTCAGTGTTCAGTCCCTAACGCAGACGGGGATGGGTCAGGGGAGTAAAAAGTAAAATGGGAGGATGCTCCAATTGGAGCAAGAAAGGTATAAGATAACTGGAACAAACAAAAGAAGAGGCTGAGAGAAGCGGATTTGAAAGAGAAGGAGAGAGTGAATTGATGGAAGGGGAAAACCTTGACGGAGTGAAGGGCCGAAAATGAGAAGGAGCAAAAAGAAAAAATGAAATGAAAAACGATGCAAGGAATTGGAAGATACAAGGGAGTAAATGAAGAGAAAAGAAAGGCAATGGGATAAGGAAAAAAACATGAACTGATGGAAAGAATAGCAAAAAGGAGAAAGACGGTAAGGAACAATATAACGTTAAGAGGAGAAAAATGGAGAAAATAAATTTAAAATTACGGAACTAACATGGGAAATTAACAGGAAAATTATGAAGGGTAAGGGGAAGCTAAAAGAAGCTAGGGCAACTTGACTTTACAGAGAAAAAAGACAAGTGAGAACACACAGGAGGAGAACGGTAGAGCAAAAGGCGGGGTTTGGAGGGAGAAACTAATATCAAAAAAGAGAACAGGGAGAGTGAGAGGAGGAGGGAAGAAAACAGAACAGAGCAACAGAAGAAAAGAGCCAAACAAAAGAAAAATTAGGATGAGTAACATGATGATATAGAATGTGGCGGGCGTAGCAAGCCGAAGACCACTTATTCCATTATAAAACAGTCTCCTTCTTCATGAATTGCCACATACATCGCCAATCACAATTAAACTTCATCTGCAACCTCTTTTCAGAACCACATGTCTATTAATTAAATTTCACCTAACGGTAAATCTTCTTATCGCAACGACCAGATATAACCTTTTTTAAATAACGCAAATTCTACCAGATGTGGGTTACTTCTAAATTGAATAACCCACAAAATGAAAAAATTACTAAAGCCAAACCAATTTCTAAAAAGAAAAACAAATACTAAAATACAAATGCAAATCAAACGATCACGCTTTGCGTTAAGTCGTAAAAATTCACCAAATTCACGCTTAAAAATTAAAATTACGTCACACACAGGGTAGCCCATCTTTATTGAAGGCGCTTAAGCGAAAATAACGTGTACATAGGTCGTAGGTCGTAGAAAACCAATTTGAGAAAAGGGATCACATAAACAGCAAGATCAAGAGCAAAAGCGGGTATATAAACAGGGGTAGGAAATAAGTTAACAGAATGGGGGGATGGGAGTGAAAATGGCGGGAGCCATAGACGCGTGGAAGTGGAGGAATAAAAAATGAGAGTGGCTATACGTGTATATCACAGAGAAGAAATGAAACAGTGAAAATATAAAATATAAAATATGATGATGAGAAGGAAGGGAATGGGGATAATATTGGAGGGGATAAAAGAAAATAAGTAGAGATGGGAAGAGGATAACAAGACAGACCAAGTACTGGAAGAAATAAAAAGTAGAGACGAAGATAGTATAGAAATCAGTCTAAAAGGAAGATAAAAAGATCAAGAAATTGGGAGATACAGTATGGATAAGAGACACTGTGGAAGCTGATAAAATGAGAATATGGGAACAGGAAGAAGAAACAGGTGAAAACACAGATGAGTGGAAAAAATGAGGGTATTAAAATAACAAAAACATGGAAACAGGTAAATGGAGGGGACGGAAGTGGTGGGAGAGAGAGTGTACATAAGAGAGAAACATGTACAAACCAATGACGGTGAAATAAATGGAGATATAGAGGAGAAAGGAGTTGAGAGAATAGGAAACGTTGAGGAAACGTAAAGAAAATGTCAAGAAATCAGGGAAATAAAATCAGAGAAGCCCTTTTGGAAGGTGATAAACAGAGGAAAACATAATGAGTTGGAGAGAAATACAAATAGTGGGCTGGGTACTAGGGAAATCATAAGAAAGAGGAGGTGACAGAGGAAGGTTGTTGGGAGGAAGTGGAAAGAGCCGAGAGAGCAAGAGAAAGGGTTGAACACCAATTAAAGACACTGAAGAATGTGGCAGAAAGGGATGAATGGATTTTCAACACAGATAGTATCAAGGAGAACATGAGGAAACTCATAAACAAGATATGGAACGGAGGAGGACTACCGGAAAAATTTAAGGGAGTGGTAGTAGTTGCGATTCACAAAAGAGGTGCCAAAGGGGAGAGAGAAGGATGTACTACACAAACTGGAAAAAAGTGCGGAAAAGTGAAGTTAAAGGCACTTTGACAGAGAAGAAAAGGATAAAGTACGGAAAATGATGGAGGATGGGGAAATATATACCAATCAAAGTGGAGGAATCGGTGTGAGAAGAAGGAAGTCATGGTCCACGGTATACGGGGACGACGCAGTAATAAGAGGTGAAAACACACATAAAGGAAATGATGAGAACGATGGAGAGACACTGGAAAAGAGAGGACATGGAAAATCTAAGATGAGATTTGGTAATGGGAGAGGAAGGAAAAGTGAAATAGAACGGAAGTGAAAGGAGGAAATGGTAGAGTAAGTATGAGAATCCCAGTACTTAGGATACCAGATAAAACGAAGTATTGGGGCAAATTAACCTGAAGGGAAAAAAGGGAAAAGTAGCTAATGAGACAGGTATAGGGAATATGAGTGAGTAAATTAAAAAAATTTGCGGTGGCTAGCACAGATCCCACCCGCACGGCGATTCTGCCCTTTTATGTCTAAGAATATGTACCAGAAAATGAGAGTACAAGTAGACAGACCGACACACCGACAAACCGACAGACCCATCGACATCATCGAGATTTTGTCTGATTCAGATTCCTGGTGCGTCAAAACGTGCATTTCCGTAAATAAAATAGTTCGGAACAAGAAAGCACATTTTTGATGCGATGGCGAGAAGGGTGCTACAGGTGGGATGGAAATGTGGGGATGAAGGGAATGGGATGAATTATAAGGGATACAAAGAAGATACTACAAGTGGGTATTAGGAGGAACCAAGATGGAGAAGGAGAAGGTGAATTGGATGGTCAGAGGTTGAAAGGAGAAGAGAAATAGAAGAAAGGACGAACGCTGAAAGGGACAAAGATATAGGTACAAATGCAACTATAGAGAAAGAGGAAACAGATCACCCGCACGTTAGTAAGGGAGGTATTGCATTGGGGTAACAAATTAGTCCCCACTGTTCCCTTTGTAACAAGCGCCTATGTATCAAATTTCTTTTAAATGCTTCCATAAATAAAAAAATTGGCACTGCGCATGCGCAAAACCAAATTTTGAAACTGGCGTTTGATTTTCCTTTATTCCAAGTGTATAAAATTGCGTTTAAATGCTTCCATTTTTCCATTCTTAGAGATAAAGAACTAGTGGCGTCTCAACGAACGGGCGGACGGACGGATGGAAGGACAAAGTGGCCACAATAGCGCATTTTTTTATTTTTGTGGAAATGCGCTAAAAACTAATGTTGGTTCCACCAACTACTACCGAATTTTTGCAATTCCACCAAACATAATTTATTAAAAAATTTGATCCTCTAATTTCTACAACCTAATTGTTTGTGAACTCAAGTGATCGAAACTCAACTCTACCTATCACCTTAAAAATCGAAAAAATAGATCCAAATTTAGAGCTACCGTAACAGAATGGGCGCGGGAGCGGAAGGTAAAGGAAGCAAGAGCTATAACAGAAAACGTGAAGTAAGAGGGATACGAAGCGGAAGTAACAATGGAGTGAAAGACGAGATCGAAACTTGGAAATTGGAAGGTAATAAAAAAGAAAACCAAGATCTGGCACCAACAATAAAATGAACCGAGATTTAAAAAAGTAGCCCCATGCAGAATTAGGATAATCGGAACAAAAACAGATACGGAATTAAGATTTGGAACCAGAACAGGGACTGTGACTGGAGCGACAGAGCAGGAACGTGAAAAATATCTGAAGCGCTTCTAATAAATCAAGACTCAGTTTTGTGACCAAATCCTGACGATCGTATCCTTTTTGGGGTTCTTCAATTTTCAGGTCAAAATATCTTTTTTTGGTCGATCTGTAACAATTTTTATGGTTCCATCATATCAGTGTTGTTATTGGCGGAGGAGGATAACTTCCATGCAAGTACGAGAATATACAAAATAACAATCTAATACTAGGTACCATTTTGGTTGCTACCGAAGTAGTGATAATCTTACTGTACATACAGGGGCAGCAGTTGCCTCAACAAAAGTCGTCCAGAGTGAATACACAGCAATGTTCTTATACAGGGTGTTCATTTGAAAACCTCCCACCACGGATTTGTCGAAGACTACTTCACCCTCTTTCACCGTCTGCCCTCCAGGATCATTTTCTTAAAAGCTTTAAATGACGAGTGGTATCGAGTAATAGCTTGTTTGAAAGGTCTTTAAAGTCCTTTATTTTTGATTTTTTTAAATCGGTCAATTCGTTTTCGAGAAAATTAGAAACATCTTTATTTAAATTCATTTGTTCAGATAGAAAATAAATACAAACGAAAATATCTCTTATTTTATTGTTATGGGAAAGAAAGAATTTAATTTACTGTCAGTGGTTTTCGATAAATCCGTGGTAGAAAATTTTCAAATGAACACCCTGTATTTGAGCGTAGTTCTAGAAATCTCCTTAGAGATAGATGTGCCTGTAGTGCAGACAACAATAGATCAGTTCGTAGGCACGGTCGCACTTGCCGGTCGTAGTGTCAACCTTTGCGGAGCAGAAGTCCACAATATCGGTGGTTACCCTATCCATTTTTTGCACCATAATCTCCTCGTTGGCGCTACCGTCATTGCTTATAAGCTTGAATGCCTTAAACACGCACCAAAGGTAGCATTTGAAATTCTCATCGTCCGTCATCTGAAGCGATTCCCAATATTGATTCACGTACTCTTCTTTGACCCCCGTCGATTTCAGGCACTCTGGATGTTCTTGCTTCGTGCGTTCTCTCCATTCGTCCAAAATCAATCTGGTGGTTCTCTGAAACAGCGCTCAGCGGAGTTGAATTGATTCAGTTTACACTTACATTGGATGAAAAGGCGAAAACCGCAGAGACCGCCGCAGAAATGATGAGGAGCTCCTTAAGAATGGACATGATCGTTAAGAATGTTGTTGAGAGTTTGTCGGAGTTTTTACAAGGTTGGCATAATAAAGTAGTATTTGAAAGGTCTTTTAAGAAATTGTTATTTATTTACATATGAATAATTATGGTAAATCAATGTGTGGGAGTAAAATGTTTACGTCGAGGCCGCCGAAATTTCGAAACGAGTTACGATAATTATTGATCGTGATAAGGGAAGAAATGCAAAAATTTTATGTACATTCTGGCCAACTAAAGTGTATCGAAGAACCTATCCATCGTAGAAGCTTGCGGAAAAAAAGTTATTACTAAAACGGTCAATGGAAAAAAACCTGGAAAATATTTTCAAGTTTCTGAAATGGCCGCTAGAGGGCGTAACTGAAATCTTGAATCTAAAGAGTGATGTTTCTGTGCAGCCCGCTATATTAACCTAACGAAAAAATCCCTGGTCGTGGATAATCTAAACCTTTTTCGGAAATTTTCGCTGAATATCTAAAAATAAAGTTGTGAGGGTATTCAAAACAGTTGCCGTAAAAGTCACCCTATATCTTCGAAACGGCTGAACCGATTTTAACAAACTAGGGCTCGTTGAAAACAGCTATTCTTAGGCTACAAATATTCTAATATTTGAAGTTTTGTTAGTTTGACATGACGCCGTTAGAGGGCATTTTTCGACATTACGACAGAAATCGTTAAATTTCTCAAAAAAAAATCAAATGCAATTTTTTCATGAAAAAATAACTAAATGATATCTGAACCAGCTCGCGAGAACCGATCTCGATATCTGGTTCGTAACCTAAAATTTAGGCCAAAGAAAATTTTACACGCGCATTCTTAGTTGGTCACCCTGTACAGTGTGAGTCAACGATTGCGCGGAGTAATTTAATGCTTTCAAGATAAGATTTTTCGATAGAGTACCTTTGTATTATGATATGGTTGAATATTCTCCACATTTTAAAAATATTTGGAATTATACAGGGTGCGCTCACAAAGTAGGGCGCCAAAAAGGTACATTTTTTAAATAGAACCCTCTGTATTTGAATGCATTTTTGAATTCTACGTGAAATTTTACGTCTTTTTTTATTATATGGTTAATATCCGAAAAGCTAGTAGTTTTAAAGATAATTCGATTTTTAAGAAAAATTGGGGATTTGCAATTAAGCGTCAGTATATTGTCAAAATTATTACTTAAATTTTGATTCCAGGTCTTATATCTTTTATCCTGGGTACAGTCAAATAAATACATCTACTATGAAACATTAAATAAATAGCTTACAGGGTGTTTTTTTGGTAGGTTCAAAGTTGCAAAACTTCGTATTCAAAAATCTCACTTTTTTTAAATGGAACGCCCTGTATATTTTTTTGTCATCTTTTAGCTCTTCCAAAAACCTTCAACTTTCGATAATAATATCCTATACCTATCTCTGATAGTTTTCGAAATATCTTGGTTTTCCTGGTTTTTACATTCTAATCTTAAATAAGTTATATATAATTTCCATAATAACGAGGTGGTCATGCAAAAAAAGGCAATTTTTATCTGCCTCGTCCAAAGCTAAAATATTTATTAGTTCATTTTTCTAACAATTCATTTAAGTCTATACCTAAAAACTGGAGAATAGATTTGATAGTAAAAACATAAACAAATATCTTGGTTTTCCTAGTTTTTATATTTTAGTCTGAAATAAGTTCTAATTTACATAATAACGAGGTGAATATTAAAAAAAATGAAACTAATATCACTGACTGGATGACATTAGGAGTTAAATTAAATTCGCTTTGTAGTCAAATGTTTTTACTTATTCTCCAGTTTTTGGACATAAAATAAAGTGTTTGAAAAATAAATTAATCTATATGATTTTCGTTTTGGACGAGATAGATAAAACTTGCCTTTTTTTTGATGGCCCCCTCGTTATTATGTAAATTACATGTATCTTATTTAAGATTAGAATATAAAAACCAGAAAAACCAAGAAATTTTGAAAAATATCAGAGATAGGTATAGGACATTATAATTATCAAAAGTTCAAGGTTTTTGGAGGAGCTAAAAGATGACAGAAAAATATACAGGGTGTTCCATTTAAAAAAAGTGAGAATTTTTAATATGAAGTTTTGTAACTTTGGATCTAGAAAAAACACCCTGCAAGCTATTTTTTTAATGTTTTACAGTAGATGTATTTAATTGACTTTTACTTAACCCAGGATAAAAGATATAAAACCTGGAATCAAAATTAGGTAATAATTTTGACAATATATACTGACGCTTGCAAATGCCCAATTTTTCTTACAAATCGAATTATCTTTAAAACTAGTAGTTTTTCGGATATTAACAATATAATAAAAAAATCGTACAATTACACGTAGAATTCAAAACGCATTCATATACACGGGGCTCTATTTAAAAAAATTTACCATATTGGCGCTCTACTTTGTGGGCGCACTCTGTATAATTTCAAATATTTTTAAAATGTGGAGAATATTCAACCATATCATAATACAAAAGCACTCTATCGAAAAATCTTATCTTCAAGGTATTAAATTACTCCGCGCAGTCGTTGACTCACCCTGTACAGATGCAATAAACGACGACCGATGAAAACCAAAACTTCTTACTGAATTATTTTAAGATAGAGGCACAACCGTGTACACAAACTTTCTCCTTTATTTTTCTTTAAATCGCCAGCACTGGTTGACTATTGACATTTGTTGAAAATTGCAACTCGGTTACAAACTTTAATTTTAACAAAGACAACTTTAAAATTGACGCAACATCTTCTTCTCTATAACTTGGAACTAATTCCCTGAACACCAACTTAGGAAAACTATTCCTGTAGTTTTATTCTTCATTTAAAGACTTCCTAACATCGGTTGACTACCGGAAAAAATGCGTATTTGAATTTACACGCAACGGACTGTTACGTACCGGGTGACCCAATAAGACCGTTCCTTGGCCATATCTCGAGAACCGTTCGTCATCTGACTGGGTAAATCGGTGATGAAGAATCGCTGGAAAATGTTTTCAAGTTCTAAAAATGACCAACAGAGTGCGTAACTGCCATCTGAAATTTGAGAATGGCATTTTCTTTAAATTTCGCATAATAAACTAAAAAATTTTTTTCAAGAAATTAGACCGACCAAAACTTTAAGGTTGCGTTTTGCAATAACTCCATAAAGTGCTGAAAGCCTGATTTAAATATAAATCGCTTGTTTACACAGTTGTATCAAGCTGTAAAACTTTTAATGACGCATTCTTTGCAAAAAAAACCTCTACGTATTGCGTATATAAATGCGGTGCTTCAAAACGAAAATTATCTTTTTCTAGCCAACATGACTAGGTCAGCAATCCTAATTTTAATCGTCATCATCCCCTCAACGGTGCTTGCCTACAGCTCTTCCGTAAGCCAGTGTTACCTATTACGTACGTTTCTTAGCTTTTGCCTTAGATAACTGTAAAACAACTGATGGACGCCTGGCGCACAAAAGCTACAAGCGAACATCCCGAATGCATGACCATATCGGGTGCTAACCAAGAGGAGGTCGACCTGTATTGGTTCAAGTATCGCGGCACGGACACCCGCACCTTTAAGTGTTACCTCGCGTGCATACTTCAACGATTCCAATTGGTTTTCGAAGATGGCAGTTTGAATGAGGATGCTATCGTCCACATCGACAAGGTGACGAACGACATGATTAAGGACTGTCACAGAAATTACGTGCACCCAGACCTGTGTCAACTGTCTTTCGATTTCGCCACTTGTATCATGAAAGATTTGCAAAATTGATCGTGTAACTAATCTTCAAATCTTGTAATAAACAATAGTTCTTCAGGTATTCAAGAAACTGTTCTAATATATTTTCCAAAAATTGTTATACACGGTCTTCCGTCCTTCCTAGCGATTCTTCATACGAAACCCTGTCAGAAATGGATTTTGGAAACCCAGGAAGCCTCTGCGAACCTCTTTAAGAATGAGTGGATTTGGTCTTCGAGCCTGGAAAAGCATCTCTAGGGATTGGAATCTTCTTTATTAACTCGTGCAGGGATGGTGTTTTGTTTGGGATCTTTAGGGACCGCTTGAGTAATAACAAATTTGACTCCGCGCCCATGTTCGGGGTATTATTTTGGTTACTAATGGACCCCAAGGGGTGGTTTCGATCCCTTGATTGGTGCCAGACAGTCGTGGGTGGTGTCATGCAATCTTCTTATGGAGTGTGCCGGTTCTTCTTCAACTTTGGGAAAATCTAAATTCCTACCATTAGCTTTTCTTTGTTGATCGACTTTGCATCTTCTGCGTTGCTGATACTGTCGAAAAGGATTGGTCACCGACGATAAGGGATGAATGCGGATCTGACGCATTATTTCCATAAAAATGATACTGATTCCAGAATTTTCTAGAAGATAGTGCTTGCAGTATTGCCTCAGGAACCTCAGGCTGGTTGGCCAAAAGTCAAAATCTGTAACAGTTTGAAGTATTTGAATTGTTTAGGAATGTTAATATACAGTGCGTTCGAGATAAGAGGGTCACCTCAATATCTCTTTTATTTGGGAGATATCGTTGAAAAGCAGGTTGAAAAGAGAATTTTTTTAGCAATAAAAATCAAGCAAAATATGGTTAATTCAGTTGAATCCTTCTCCGCCAGGGGGCTAGTTTTGACACTATGATCCAAAATCCTAAAAAAATCAAAAAAATTAAACGGAATGATATGATTTTTTCTTTATGACAAAGTAGCCAAATAACATCCAAAGAGGCCTGTGAAAACCGTTTTTCAAAATCTCGTGCCTAACCTCAAATATTGGGAAAATGAGATATTAATCTCATTTTCCCAATATTTGAGAATATTAATTATTTAAATGCTTAAATTGTATCTTAAATTTACTTTTGACCTATTTCCGGTATTTGTCGATGGCGCGAAAGAATGTTTGGAAAAGCACTCTACACTTTTAGGTAGGCTTTGGAAAATTAAACAAATGAAACACGATGCATTATAAAATAATATCAGACGTAATTTGTAAATTATTCTGCTGTGTTTACATTCAGAAAGTGCAGTTTTTTGAATTTGCAATCTTTTCTAAAATGCCGATTTCAAACCAAGAAGTATTTAATATGCTGGCGATATATTTGAGTGTTTTCAAAATGCGACCGTCGCTACCCGCATCTTCTATTTGCGTTATCCGAATCAACCACGAACCATCGCCGCCAGCATATTAAATGCTTCTTGGTTAGAAATCGGCATTTTAGAAAAGATTGCAAATTCAACAAACTGTACTTTCGGAGTGTAAACACAGCAGAATAATTTACAAATTAAGGCTATTATTATTTTATAATGCATCGTGTTTCATTTGTTTAATTTTCCAAGGCCTACCTAAAAGTGTAGGGTCCTTTTCCAAACAATCTTTCGCGCCATCGATAAATACCGGAAATACGTCAAATAAGATACAATTTAAGCATTTTTAATTATTAATTAATTAATCTCATTTTCCCAATATTTGAGGTTAGGAACGAGATTTTCAAAAACGGTTTTTGCTGGCCTCTTTGGGTGTTATTTGGCTACTTTTTCATAAAGAAAAAGTCATATCATTCCATTTGATTTTTTTGACTTTTTTGGGATTTTGCATCATAATGTCAAAACTAGCCCCCTGCCGGAAAAGGATTTAACTAAATTAACTATACTTTGGTTGATCCTTGTTGCCCAAGGAATGCTCTTTTCAACTATACCAAATTTGTTACAATCGGTCAAACACTTAAGAAGTTAAAGTTGGTTATTGCAAAAACAATTGAACGCCCCACACCATCTTTGTTTTTGAAATAACTGAGTTTTTGTTTTTGTTTTTGACGAAAATGATAGATAAACTGGTTCTCTTTAAAAATGTGAAAGAAGAATGTTTAGTTTATTATGCGAAATTTAAGATGCCCTCTGGTGGTCATTTTTAGAACTTGAAAATATTTTCCAACGATTCTTCATGACCGATTTACCCAATAATATTTTATACCCCTAAGTCATACGACGAACGGTTCCCGAGATATGGCCAAGGTACAGTCTTATTGGGTCACCCGGTACATGGTTGAATAAAATTGAGAAATTCGGGATTCAATATTTGCAAAACATGAAATCTAGCACGCCGTGTGCTATCAAGAGCGGTGTCTGTAATGTTACATGTGTAGATCGTATCGCGCAACAAAAGTGGCATCGATTTTCGGTTAAACCGGAAGTGATACCGGAATTTTCAATATACCACCGGATAGATCGTAATGTCACATATAAAATTATATTTGACCATTTTTTTGTATTTCGCCAAATAAAAAAGATAACTATAAATAAAAAAGTTGCCATGCCGCAGTCATGTAAACCTCTCATTTTTACAATATGCGATATGCTTGTCTTACAAGTGTGTGAGTACACATCTCTAGAAATAAAAAAAGTTGACTTTGCGCACATTCGCACGACTGATTTCTACAATGAGCGATATGCTTGTCTGTATTAGAAGCATCTGTGACTAAAATTTCAAAAAATCTCTATAAACATGAAAGGTGACATTGCGCAGACTGCGCATGCGCATATGAATCATCCAGATTTTTCTTGGTTGAGTTGCCAGAGCTATTAGCAACCGAATGCAAAAAAACGAACTAAATATCTTGAAATGTGTAAGCAGTAGTTAAGGCCTCGGGCGGACGGACGGACGGACGAAGTAAGGGACTATCGCCTTCCATATATTGATAAATATATTCAACGGAAGGCTAACTGGTGAACGGAGAAAACAATTAAAGGAAAAATGGTTGAGGTCTCTGGTCTGGAATACACAAGAATAAGATTTCTGGTCAGTTAGTAATCTCGGGAAAAAGTGTGCATGTGAAATATTTTTTATTGGGGACAAGGAGGACCACAAACAGAAAGGTTTATAAGAAGGAATTTCACTTTAAAGAGATGGGACGACAGCATGCGACATCTAACGTGGGGATTTCACAACACCTATTACAGGAAATTACAAATAAAATACGTACGTTACAGAGGTTTCTACAAGCCTTTTGTCTGCCATATAACACCTGGAATTGTGGTTAATGTCCGTTCCAACATCGACGTCGAAGTGATAAATCGTGAGATTTCCTTTAGTGTTGCTCATAGGGATTTACGCGTAAATTTGAGACCCATATGTTATACGTTATAGAAATACTAGTAATCTGAAATTGCGCACACTGATAAATACGGTTTCAACAAAAATTTCAAATAGAAGCCGAGGAAAAAATATTTACACGTTTTTCTAGAGACAAGTAAAAACCGCCGGCAGAAACTGACAAGTTGATAGAGCGTGAAATAAGAGTCGTCCTTATCTTAACAGATTTAAATGAAATTCATAAATTACCAAATTCAGGAATGGCTTTTAGCTTTCAGACGTTACGATGCAGGAATAACACGATAGAGCGAATGTAATGCCGAAAACCCGAAAGTTCGGCGATATTCCGTTGCCGAACAGCCGACGGTTAGTGAAACAATAAGATCCCTTTGAGAATCAAAAATGCCCTAAAAACCCACGGTCTACCAACCAATTTAAGGTCCTTTATAAATTAATTAATAACTCATTGCACATAAATAAATCACGTATTAAAATTTATGTTAGCAAAAAAGGCCTGCTGAACCACTTTGATAATGAAATATTGAACTGTGTTCAAAATATGGCCAATGAAAGTTATCAAAACTGAACAAAACCAAAAAAAAAGGAAACCGTATTATATCTCATTTCGAAAAATTTCAAGATTAGATACCAATTTAGTAGACATCCTTACAAAACCCGTGAGCAAAGACCCTTTTTGTCAATCCAAATTAGGATCTAGTATTGCAAAAAGTAAAAATTTTATTATAAACAAAGGGGGCTGATCGGCTATTGGTTACAAAGGGACGCCAGTCTCCAAAATTGCGTTGGTTCCTTTGATAGCCTAATATAAATAGAAAAGCGCACAGCGAGTCGAAGAGACTTGTGGCGTGTAGGGAATGCAACACGATCGCAGGAACCCGCAATACCAGAATCCCGCATGTAGATGACGCGGATAACGGATTATGGATGGAGCCATACAAGATTAGTCACCGGCGACAAGAAACAAAGGCGGATTTGACGAACTTGTTCCGGGAAATACAAAACGTTTTGTTCGAGTGTATTCGGTTAACGGGACAAAACTTTTTATTTCCCATTGTATTTCAAAGTTTGCGGGTTCCCAAGGGATTAACACCTAACGATCTTGCAAATACCGGGATGCTGAGGGGTTGCATTCCCTACTGACGTCTTTGAAGGTGTTCACACAATTTACACATTATGGCTCCATCCATAGTAGAAAAATGTCAAATAATTAAGTCAACGTTAATATAACATTATGATCAGATAGGATGCAAAAAAGGTGACCACGCAGGTTCCTATTATTTTATTTTGATGAAACGAAGGTAGATATAGAAGGCCGAACCTGGCTCAGTTCAAGGTCGTTCGCCTCCTAGTGGTGACCCTGGAAATTAGATCAAGGTGAAAGTCACGCGCCACGTAGGCGATGACCTTGGAAAGTAGGTCGCGGTAAATTCCAAAGGGCAAGCTGTACTGATCGTATTACATTTTTGGCGTGTGAATTTACATTTGCAAGGTCATACAAGCTCAATAGTCTCAATAATTGATGTAGTGTTAAATTCTATTTTCAAGGGCATTCAAGGTCATTGACCCCATTGTGTTAAATTACATGTTCGAGGTCATCCCAAGTCAATGACTTCAATTGTGGTGTCAAATAATTTTTCAATGCGATCTAAGGTTAATCGCTTCAATTGTGGTGTCAGAATTCATTTTCAATATCATCCAATGTGAATGACCCATTTCTGTGGTCCGAATG